CTATGAGTCAGATCTGACTCCAGGGCCATGAGTTCTGTTTTGGTTTCTGTGTGGCACTGTGGTTAAGGCATTGGGCTGCTAACTAAAAGGTGAGTGGTTTGAACCCAAAAGCTGCTCCATAGGAGATAGATATAAATATACGTATACACACACACATACATACATATACTTACAGGTAGTCCCCAACTTATGATATAGTCAAGTTAGGACAAACATCATTTATGATCATCTGGTTGTTTTTCAAATAATGTGTGTATTTTCTTATGTATGTAAGCATTAAAATATATCTGTAAGTTTATACATAATGTTTCTAACACTAAAAACAAATGAAGATCGGATTTATAAAGATACTGATAATAAAAGGTGACAGTGAAAACCTAAATTAAAAAAAATTGAAGTATGTGACTTTCGTCAGAACCAATTTACAACAGAGTCACTGGGAGGGAACCCAGTTGTAAGTGAGGGACCAACTGTGCATCTCACAGTTTTATCTCTAGGAACCCTGCCTTACACGTGTGCAGACAGGAATCCGATGGTCACACACACACACGGCCACGGGGGGCCAGGCCCCGCACCAAGTACTTAGGAGATGCACCCCATTTTACCACTTACGACAACCCTTTGAGGTAGGTACTCGCTCACGCACTTCACAGACGCGGCCCAGCAAGATGGGATCAATGTGTTTCAGGGGTCACAACCAGTTAGTGTACAAGGGAGTGGTTTGAGCCTTTGAACTATTACAGCTGCGGCTGGTATACAGCTGGTGCTCAATAAATACAGAAGGAACGAATAGCATAGTCTGGAAAACAACTGTCCGAACTGAGAGGAAGCCAACCCCCCACCCCATATGACAACAGGATAAACGGAGACCCGGGAGGTTTCGTGGCTCACCCAGCCCCCGTGGGCCTGGATCCAGGGCGCGAAGCTGTGCACGTGCTCCACGCTGAGTCCGGCCAGGGTGCCCCCCAGGTGGGCCACACGCCGGCTCAACTCCATGGCCAGGGCCAGGCGCGCCAGAGGCTCCGGGGAAGGCGGTGGGGGCCCAGGGCACGGTGACAAGGGGCGTGCACAGCCGGAGCCTGGGCTGGCTTCGCGGCTGGTGAACAGCTCCGCTAGGCGGGCGAAGGACCCCATGGAGAGACCCACCAGCTTGCGCCGCAGGACGGGGTCCGAGGCCAGCTGTGAGGTAGGGAAGAGAAGAGGCAGGACAACCCACATCACGCCCCCTTGCCAGTGTCCGTCCAATAGGAGGCTGGGAGGCGTGGCTGTGGGGCAGTCTAGACGCTACCACTTTAAGCCAGGCCTCTATCCAGTCCATCACCCAATCACAAACATGTCTCTGTGGTCTCCACCCAACTACTCTCCGGAAGTGGTCCAGAGACTGAGCCGCTAAGCCACGCCCCTAACAAAGCCTCAACGGCCAATCAGAGCCAAGCCCTACTTTAGCTTTGTCCTGTTTTTGTTACTAGGTTCTGTTGAGTTGGCTCCAACTTGTAGGAACCCTATGTGTGTACAACAGAATGAAATACTGCCCAGTCCTGCGCAAGCCTCTTAATTCCTACTAGGCTTGCGTACATCGTTAAAGCCATCTCACTGAAGGGCTCCACCATGCGCTTCCCTGGCCAATCAGAGACCTGGCGGCCAGGCCAGACTCCCCCAGCCAATCAGACTGTAGACGCAAAAACAAACCACGCCCCC